CTGAACGGTGATTCGGTGAGCGATCACTGCCACGTCACCGGTAAGTATAGAGGCGCCGCTCACAGCGCGTGTAACCTCAAGCTTAGAATCACCCCCAAGACAATAAACATCCCCGTGGTCTTCAACAACTTGAGAGGGTACGACTCTCACTTGATCATGCAGGCCATCGCGAAAGTCGACGGTAACCTGACGTGCATCCCCAACAACATGGAGAGATACATCTCCTTCAGCTTGAATGGCCTGAGGTTCATTCACTCGATTCAGTTCCTCCTGTCGTCACTCGACAGTCTGGTCAAGGCCAATGATACCTTCCCCATCACTGATCGATACACCGACGCCGAGACTCGACCCCTGCTGATGAGGAAGGGTGTGTACCCCTACAAGTACATGGATGGCTGGGCCAAGTTCGCCGAGACCCGACTACCCCCATCAGAGAATTTTACAGCAATCTGACCGACTCGGCAATATCCCAAGACGATTACTCGCACGCAATTAACGTATGGAATAAACTGGGCTGTAAGAATCTGGGTGACTATCACGACCTGTACTTGAGGACAGATGTACTGCTGCTAGCCGATGTGTTTGAGACGTTAAGGCGGACATGTTTCAAGCAGTATAAACTCGACCCCGCATGGTATTACACCAGCCCAGGTCTGTCGGGGGATGCCTTGCTGAAAAAGAGTTAAGTTGGAATTGCTCACAGATTACGACATGCACCTATTCATTGAGAAAGGCTTGCGAGGCGGGATTTCCATGGCAACCAAACGATACGCGAAAGCAAATAATCAATATGTGAAGGGCTACGACCCGAGCAAGCCAACCAATCATATTCTCTACCTCGATGCCAACAACCTGTATGGCTGGGCCATGAGCCAGTATCTACCCACAGGGAGATTCGAATGGGCATGGCACGAGATCGGCCGGGTACCATCCGATGTTGATGTTATGAGCATCGCACCAGATTGGAACAAAGGTTATATCCTCGAGGTGGACTTGGAATACCCCAAGGCATTACACACATCACACAACAGCTACTCCCTGGTCCCCGAACGTATGAGGGTTAACCCAGACTGGATGTCTGAGTACCAACATAACTTGTTAGGTGGGCGGGTGGCAGACGTTGAAAAACTCGTGCCCAACTTAATGAATAAGACCAAGTACATCGTTCACTATCACAACCTACAGCTGTACCTGTCGTTGGGTATGAGGCTGACCAAAATACACAGGGTGCTCGTGTTCAACAAGAGATCCTGGATGAAGACATACATCAGAATGAACACAGACCTCCGAAAGCTTGCCACCAGTGACTTTGAGAAAAATCTCTACAAGCTCACGAACAACTCGGTGTTTGGTAAGACTAAGGAGAACCTGAGGAAACGCGTGACCGTGAAGCTGGTTTGGTCAAATGAGGAAGACAAGCTCAGGAGACTGATAGCCAGTCCAGCATTCAACCGGAGTTAAATATTCACCGATGACCTAGTTGCCCTACACATGAAGAAAAGCCACATCAAATTCAACTGGCCTGTTTACGTGGGGATGAGCATCCTCGATTTATCCAAACACCTGATGTACGACTTTTACTACAACGAGCTGAAGAAACAGTACGACGACAGGTGTGAAGTGCTGTACACTGACACGGATTCCCTGCTGATGGAGATTCGAAACGAGGACGTGTACGAGGACATGAAAAGACGCCTCGATTTGTATGACACCAGTGACTACCCAAAGGACCATGCCATACACAGCATGGTAAATAAAAAGGTCCTAGGTAAGATGAAGGACGAGTGTGCTTGCACGCCCATAGCCGAGTACATAGGTTTGAGGCCTAAGATGTACTCCATCCTGAAGGCCGACAATGGTGAGATCCGGAAGGCGAAGTGTGTTAAGAAGAACGTGGTGAAACAACACATCAAACACGCCAGATTCAAGGAAGCCCTGTTCAAGACCCGCACCTTCAGGCATAAAATGAACACGCTTCGAAGTGATGGGCATAGGATACATGAACTGACTATAAACAAGACATCCCTGTCGCGGATGGACACTAAACGTTGGATAGCTATTGATGGGATAAACACGTATGCGTACGGGCATGAGAAAATTGAACCAAGAACATAGGTGTACATAAACACGATACCCTATCAGGGGGCGTGTCACAGAACCAGAGAAAGTTTGAGGCTATTTACTACAGCCCGCGTGGGTACTGGAAAGGAGCTAGCGCTGTACATAAGCTGGGTAAAATGGCGCGAGTACCCCCGGAGGAGGCCAAAGTGTGGCTTGAAAAACAAGCCCTGTGGCAGATCTATTTACCGGCACCACGCTATGTGCCTAGAAGGAAGTTCGGTATTAACATACCCAATAGCGTTCACCAGGCCTACCTCCTGTTCCTAACCCACGATAAGAGGTACAAGTATACCTTAACCGTCGTGGATGTGGCCAGTCGCTACAAGGAAGCTGAACCCTTAACTGCGAAAGACTCGGCCCAGGTAGCCCGCGGGTTCAAACAAATATACAAGCGCAGTCAACTGACGTGGCCAACAGAGCTGCAAGTTGACCCCGGGCGGGAGTTCATGGGTGTCGTGTCACACCTGCTGGATAAACACGACACCAAAGTCAGGCGTGGCACGGCCGGAGCCCATTGCAGCCAAGCAATAGTTGAGAGATTCAATAGGACTTTGGCTGAGCGCTTATTCGGCCATCAGTATGCAACAGAGATGGCCAACCCGGGGAAACGATCGACTGAATGGGTAGCGCGGCTACCTCAGGTGGTGTCTGCCATCAACCATGAAATCACCCGTCTCACCGGCAAGAAACCAGCAGACGCTATCAAACTAAAATCAATAGTGGCAGAGTCGGCTGCTCCATTGCGTGGGAAGGAGAAACAGATACCAGATAGGGCCCTAGTGAGGTACCTATACCAGCCGGGGGGAACACGAGGGTGATAGCCGTAAGCGAGCCACTGACCCAATATGGTCAGTCAAAACTTACAACATAGATAAAGTGGACATCAAAGCCGACGAGCCAAACTTGTACTACTTGAGAGATGGGCCAGGGAGAGGGTTCGTTAGAGAAGAATTATTGATCATACCGTATGGCACTTTGCTACCCCCCAAGCAAAATATTTAACACTTACCAAGTAATCCCAATATTATCTTGTCAACACGACATGTCACATGATCAGGAAAGTGCTGGTTCATGGTCATAGTGACCAGGAAGTTAACTGGGATTCAAATAAATCGATTTTTAATTCTAACAATATAATACCCAATACACACGAAACATAGCGAGATTACACACTATAATAATTTCAAAAGTCGGCATTGTATATATCCTGTTAACATTAACCGGATTTAAAACCTACTGTAGTAAGTATAGACGGAGCCGAGTTAAGAATAATGCCATAAACTGGTTTGCGCCATTATAGACGGAGCCCAGCTTTGGATGATGCAATCCCAGGATAAACCTGTTAAACCGAGATTCTTCAGCTAAGTCCCCGGTAGCTCAATCGGTTGAGTGGTGCGGCCCATTATGTATAGTTTGTATTTCTCCGCCGTTGCCTCAGGGAATTGTGGCTGCCGGGGGGCATTTTACTACTTTTAGAACCTTTCTATCTTTCTATTGGGGAATTGTGCCACGTGGGCTTTTAGAGTTTTCTATCTTTCTATAGTGCCACGTGTGGGCAGGAAGTTAACCGGGGGCTCAAAAGTAGTAGATATAGTGGGGCGAGATCTAAGGGCCTGACAAAAGCTTTATTTGTGAAATAAAGCTTTGCAGAGGCTTTTGTTGGACTTGATCCCGTACCGCTATTACTACTACTACTACTTATAGAAGATGTATAAAAGATACTAAATTGATTGACTTGCAGTTTAAATTTATCCATAATATTGTCTACACAAAGAAGGAATTATTGAGAATGAAATTAGTAGATGATGAACTTTGCTCATTTTGTAATTTAATGTCAGAAAATTTGATGCATGTTTATTGGGAATGTGAGTGTGTGAAAACGTTCTGGCTGAAACTGAAAGAATATATTGTAGATAAATCATCAGAAAATTTTACCCTGACAAAATATACAGTCTTAATTGGCGGATATAATAACGACCTTATGAATCACATACTTCTTGCCAGTAAAAAATATATCCATATATCAAGTATTAAAAAAAATAAGTTATCACTGGATACATTTGTAAAAATATTGAGTGATCTTTTCAAGACAGAAAAGTTTATTGCCAGTAAGAATCAAAACATATTACAATTTGACAACAAATGGTCATCTCTACTGCACACATTCCCAGCCTAATGGAGATCCCAATATCTGTAATGCCAACCCATATGAATTTCTGTTCTACGGTGTACAAGTGTTGTTGCACCATGTACTTTGTATACATGTATCTACTGATTTTGAATGCATAAACACAAAACAAAAAAAAACAACTCTGTCCTCTGTTTACTCATGGGAGACTTGTGCTATACTGACAGTCCTTATTTGCGTTACAGATTTGATGTAAACATTGTATTGTTCTGCCAGTGTGATTAAAACTCTTTAATGTGCCCGTATATAAAATGTGTTGAAGATAGACATGTGCTATTGTCACTATCTTCATTTTGTATGTGTGAGATGTGTATCGAACTCACTGTAGACGTCATGTACGTTTTGTTGGTTTCAATGAGCCCCAAACTAGTGAATTGGTTCAACTTTCCTCTGGAACAGATTCGAGTTGTTTCTCAAACCAAATATGACATATATGACAATGACATATAGCTGCATCAGTTTTACTTGTATGGCTAACGGACTTGTGGTATTTATGTGTGTCAGAGAGAACATGGACTTGTTATAAAACAGTTCATGTAAAATGTTAAGATGAGTTCGCCAATAAACATTGAATTTAGGATGCTTAATAATCTAAGGCCACGTTATACAAATAATTCTTTAGGATTACTTTATCTGTGTGCACAGCTACACATTTAACACTAAACTCACCTCTGTCAACTTCTATGTGCAGATGATTGTGGATGATGAAAATCACCTCGCCTCTTTACAAGGTAAGTCCTACTTGACGATATTCGCTAATGCTTGTTCTGCTCAATGCGTGTAACGAGCGTCTGATTATATATTGTCTTCAAATATAACATAGTCATAATGATTTAATATTGACTCAGCCATGTCAGCATGTACAACAGTGTAATACATTCTGATTGATCCACCACTAAATAGACCCTAGTATTCTGTTCCGACCATCCTCTCTACGGGTGGTGAAAAGACAGTAATGTATTCTGTTGGTTTCAACTATGAATAAGCCTGTGTATTGGGCTGGACCATCAGATTGTGTGAAGGCAGTAATACTTTTTAATGTTTCAGCTCTGAAAGGGCCAGTGTATTTGGTTGGGCCATCTGCTCTACAGATTGTGTGTAAGTAGCAACACCTGACCACAAGCAATCAAGTTTGCCAGTTATACCAATGTTTCCAGAATATAACAATGTTTTGCTAAAATTAACTAAGGTTATGATTTGATGTCAATCTCTAAAAACTAAAAAAGTATTACTGTGGTAGTACAATTCAAAGACAGTATAACACAATATCAGTGATTATGGTAATAAAGAGAGATATAGCAAACGTGTGTAGTTTCACAAATAGGAATAGTATCCAAGGTAAGAATCATCTCCACGCAATTGCTGGATATCTTGTAACTTATCTATGAGAAGTAATGTAGTATGAGAAGGAAGAGCTAATTTCCATTATACACCTAAAACACATATTTCAGATCTTTCCATAATGTTCTCTACGTCACTGGAGAGGCCTAGAGGGTTGTAGGAAATTCCAGATCTCTGTCTAAATATTGCACAAGTATAAATGTAGCAAACACTGCCCATCAGGGAACATCACATGTACAATGTATTACACTTGGAACATTGTCAAACAAATAATATCACAGAACAACAATCAAAATGCAAACAGTACATCTTCGCAAATTGCTTAAATCAGTACTTCATCACTACACATTGTACTGTACCAAGCGCCACTGACCACCCGCAAAATGCTTAAATCAGTATGTCATCACTACACATTGTACTATACTAAGCGCCACTGACCACCAGCAAAATGCTTAAAATCAGTACGTCATCACTACACATTGTACTATACCAAGCGCCACTGACCACCCGCAAAATGCTTAAATCAGTATGTCATCACTACACATTGTACTGTACTAAGCGCCACTGACCACCAGCAAAATGCTTAAATCAGTACGTCATCACTACACATTGTACTGTACCAAGCGCCACTGACCACCCGCAAAATGCTTAAATCAGTATGTCATCACTACACATTGTACTGTACCAAAGCGCCACTGACCACCGCAAAATGCTTAAATCAGCATCACTACACCATTGTAAATACCAAGCGCCACTGACCACCCGCAAAATGCTTAAATCAGTATGTCATCACTACACATTGTACTATACTAAGAGCCACTGACCACCAGCAAAATGCTTAAATCAGTATGTCATCACTACACATTGTGTATTGTACCTAAGCGCCACTGACCAATATCACCAGCAAAATGCTTAAATCAGTATGTCATCACTACATTGTACTGTACTAAGCGCCACTGACCACCAGCAAAATGCTTAAATCAAATCATGTCACTGACCACCATTCGCAAAATGCTTCAGTTGTCCATTTGTATCATCACTACACATTGTACTGTACCAAGCGCCACTGACCACCAGCAAAATGCTTAAATCAGTATGTCATCACTACACATTGTACTATACCAAGCGCCACTGACCACCAGCAAAATGCTTAAATCAGTGACCACCCGCAAAATCATCACTACTACATTGTACTGCGCCACTACCAAGCGCCACTGACCACCCAAGCAAAATGCTTAAATCAGTATGTCATCACTACACATTGTACTGTACCAAGCGCCACTGACCACCCGCAAAATGCTTAAATCAGTATGTCATCACTACACATTGTACTATACTAAGCGCCACTGACCACCAGCAAAATGCTTAAATCAGTATCGTCATCACTACACATTGTACTGTACTACAACCAAGCGCCACTGCACCACGCAAAATGCTTAAATCAGTATGTCATCACTGACTGTACCACCCCACCCGCAAAATGCTTAAATCAGTATGTCATCACTACACATTGTACTGTACCAAGCGCCACTGACCACCAGCAAAATGCTTAAATCAGTATGTCATCACTACACATTGTACTGTACCAAGCGCCACTGACCACCCGCAAAATGCTTAAATCAGTATGTCATCACTACACATTGTACTGTACCAAGCGCCACTGACCACCAGCAAAATGCTTAAATCAGTATGTCATCACTACACATTGTACTGCTGCCACTACCAAAAATGCGCCACTGACCACCCGCAAAATGCTTAAATCAGTATGTCATCACTACACATTGTACTGTACCAAGCGCCACTGACCACCCGCAAAATGCTTAAATCAGTATGTCATCACTACACATTGTACTGTACCAAGCGCCACTGACCACCCGCAAAATGCTTAAATCAGTATGTCATCACTACACATTGTACTATACTAAGCGCCACTGACCACCAGCAAAATGCTTAAATCAGTACGTCATCACTACACATTGTACTGTACCAAGCGCCACTGACCACCCGCAAAATGCTTAAATCAGTATGTCATCACTACACATTGTACTGTACCAAGCGCCACTGACCACCCGCAAAATCCTTACTCACTGTGCTAAAAGCACTCACCGCTGTATGATATCATAAGCATATGTTTTAATCACTATCAAAAGTTGATCTCAAACACATGCAGAGGCAAGTCAAGTATTTATCTGAACATACCGTACAAGTCATCATAAAGGTCACTCATGCTTCAATCACTATGCATAATATGCAGCCCTGGGCCTAGATTTTCGAAGCTCTCTTAGCGCTAAGATAGTCGAAAGTAAATGTTACTGTATGGAGCTTACGACTATCTTGGCGCTAAGAGAGCTTCGAAAATCTAGGCTCAGATTAACGAGGGTTTCACTGTAATAAAGTACTATCCAAAAGAAACGATACCAAACATTTTTCAATATATACTCTCCCAAACTAGAAACGCATCATGAAAATAGCAATGAATTGAAACGTGATTCATTTTACAAAAGGTTTTGCTTTGTTTATGAGTCCTATGGTGTTTATGTTTTGAAACATCGCAACAAAACGCACCATCCGTAAAATACCCGTATTGAACAGCATGATTTTCAATTTCGGCGTGCAGTGTCACAGAATACACAATTCACATGCAATGCACGTGAAAGTTAGGGATCAGATAGTCTCAATGATGGGTATAAAAGGTTGATCGCTGTCTGTCGATTATTCACTGTATTTGGAATATTGCTGACGAACGCAAAATGCCACGTCTAAGCGAAGCCAACCATCATATCGCCATTGGTTTGCTGAAGCTGTGCAGTTGCCCGACGCATGAAGCACCGAAGCACCATTTCACGGCTCTGGGAGAGATATCGCCGGCAGAATTCTGTAGCAGATGCCCCTCGTAGTGGGCGACCTCGAGCGACCACTGCGGCGCAGGATCACTACATCCGGGTACATCACCTGCGTCATCGAACAGTTACAGCGACACAGTACCGCTCGACAAATACCCAGATTGAGGAGGCTTTCTGAACAGACCGTCAGGAACAGGTTGAGAGAGGCTGGTTTACGTGCCAGAAGACCTTATTTTGGCCCTGTGTTCCGACAACAACATCCTCGACATCGAGTTCAATGGTGCACCAACGTTCAGGCCTGGAACCTACCGAATTGGCGTAGAATCTGGTTCAGTGATGAATCACGATTTCTATTGGAACGACGCGATGGAAGAATGCGGGTGTACAGACGTCGACGTGAACGTTTCGCCGACGCTTGCGTTCCCCAGGTGGCCCTCAAGATCACCGGACTTAAACCCGATCGACCATCTGTGGGATGACCAGGACAGTCGGGTGCGACGCCGTTACCCTCAGCCCCAGACACTTCAGCAACTCGCACAGGCCCTACAGGCAGAGTGGGCTGCGATTGGGCAACATGAGATTCTGAGACTTATTCGTTCGATGCCGAGGCGATGCCGTGCAGTTCTGGATGCCCACGGTGGTCACACGAGGTATTGACTTCAGCGCCACCACACGTGTCCATGTGACAGTCAAACTGCCTTTCCTCGAGTTGGTGCCAAAGACGGATAAGTCTGCATTCCCAGTGTGCAATTTCGCTATATTTCATTGACTCATAAAGCCTACAAGATGTTTCAAAATAAACATAAAAATACAGTTGAAATTCCTATATGCGTTTCTTTTTTGGGAGAGTATATTTAATAATTAAGTATTCCTTTTTGTAAGAAAACATACTTAGCATTTCTCATGTTCCAAACCAAACGTAATCGACTATTTGATCGAAAAATCCGGGAACATTTGATCATTTGAGAAAATAATGCGCACTTTGCCAAAATGATGTTACATCCCGTAGCACGAAATGTACGTGCAGTTCAACTATATAATACCGCTGACCCGACTCGTTTGATTGACAGCAACAAAAAGCAGACAAAAGAAAGGCCACGTTTGACAGCGATTGAATGAATGAGTGAGTTTAGTTTTACGCCGCACTCAGCAATATTCCAGCTATATATGGCGGCGGTCTGTAAATAATTGAGTCTGGACCAGACAATCCAGTGATCAACAACATGAGCATCGATCTCCGCAATTGGGAACCGAGGAAATGTGTCAACAAAGTCAGCGAGCTTGACCACTCGATCCCGTTAGTCGCCTCTTACGACAAGCATGGGTTACTGAAGATCAATTCTAACCCGGACCTTCAAGGGTCGACAGCGATTGAGAGAGAGAGCGATTCGTTGGATTGGTCCAACATGGAGCAACGCACACCCACCTCGCCTGAAGGTTAGGATGCGTGCTCAAAACCGTCACCAGGTCAATGCAGCGGTTGTGTCAAACAGGTTGGACAACAGACAGGCCGAGAAGCGGGAGACCATGGATGACCACGCCTATTGAAGACGTGGGTAACATCTGGGTACTTAATCTCCGGAACCACTTCATCACGGCGACGTTAATGGCAAGGACGGCACTCGCACAGGTGATAAGTCGACAAACGTTACAGGAGATTGCAGGTACATGGTATTCTAGCACGTCGCACCTACCGCAGAGCGTTCCTTACACCTCAACAGCAAGACCAACAGACTGGTGTGGACCAGGCGACTTCGACGTTAGCAACGGCGATACTGGGCACCGGTCTTGTTTTCCTACGAGAGCAGATTTTGCATCTTCAGGAACGATGGTCGGCAGCGTGTGTACTGAAGAGTTGGTGAACGTTTGCCACAGAACTGCATTCATCAAGTCTGGTCATTCGGAGACGGAGGT